TCTCTCTCTCTCTCTCTCTCTCTCTCTCTCTTTCTGTGCCAGACACACATACGCGCGTGGGCGTGCATGCACGTGCTCTCACTACCTCTCTGTTACTCTTGTATCACGTCGTACTTCTCTTTTCTTCTCTCCTCTATTACTTCCCTCATCCTTTCTCTATCTGTTTGTCTGTCTGTCTGTCTGTCTCTTTCTCCCATCTCCTCTCTCTCACATACACCGACACACAGACACACTGACACACACACGCACGCACACACACACACACACACACACACACACACACACACACACACATACGTGCGCGCTCTCACTCACACTCTCCACTCCCATCCACTCCCATCCACTAAAAGGTGAATGAAACAAACGGCACTATTAACTGTTTTAGTTGGTTCTTGCACTAGAGTTTTGAAAAACTTTCATGTCCAAGAAAATTTCTCAAATACACTGACCTAAAAATACACAACCAATGTTTTATGAGGTAAATGCCAAAGGGGAGCCCATGTTTCAATCAAGGCGACTCCAAGGAAATTACAAATCAAGACATTATGTTTCGCCGTGTGAAAGAGAAACAGCCTGATAGCATTTGGCAGCATTTGATGTCAGATTGAATTACAGATGAAATGTTTCGCTGTGGGTGAGAGAAATTGATCTGATGACATTTGATATAACATTTAATTTTGCAAGGAATGTGGCAACGTTCAGATAACAACCAGTGCAATCTTGCCGAGTATGTCAGGAGGAGAAAACAAATGGCTTAAATAGCTAAACGTAATTTTCACTATTACTGCCCTTGGATCGCCCGCCGCTTGCATTTTTCAACATGATCCTGGTTTGGAACACGGCTTGCACCCGGAAGTTTTAGTTTTAGCTTTTAAACAAGCTATGTTGCTGATCTGTCTCACTTTTTGCTCTCTAATTCAAACTTCTTTGCTGAACTAGAATCTACCCGTTTCCAATTTCTATTGTTTGACACAGGTTCAGTCCTTACGAAATGAAAGAACATGCTCCGTACCTGGATCACTTCAGATACAACTTCACACTGTGCAACTCCTTCTGGTTTGCCATGGGGGCGTTGATGCTTCAAGGCAGTGATCTATGCCCACGGTAAAGATACATACTTTTTTTAGCAAGCTTTAATGCATTTGACTATTTGACATGAACAAAAAGGCTGAGACAGACAGACAGACAGACAGACAGACAGAGAGTCATGATATAAATGCCCGGTAAACATATAAATAGAAAGGTGCAAGACGATAGGAAGGCATAATGCCACCTTCGATCAAGTGACAGTAAAAAATAGAATACAGTTGGATAGAACCAATATTTACGGTCTCTGGATAGAACATTAAAAAATAGTTTATTTTAAGTTCAATGGTATGTTCATTTTCATATTCCCTCTTCTCTGTCAGATCAATCGCTGGGCGAATCATAGGCGGTGTTTGGTGGTTCTTCGTCCTCATCATCATCTCCTCCTACACCGCCAACCTAGCAGCCTTCCTCACCGTAGAGCGGATGCTGCAGCCCGTCCAATCTGCGGATGACTTAGTCAAACAGGCGGAGATCTCCTATGGCATTCTGGAGACGGGCGCCACACGAGTATTTTTTGAGGTACGATATCAGAGCAGAAACATGGGTGGCAAACTATGACCGACCGACTTAAAGAAGACGAAGAAGAAGAAGAAGAAGAAGAAGAAGAAGAAGAAGAAGAAGAAGAAGAAGA